AGATGATAATGGCCACAAATAGACCAGATACACTAGATCCTGCTCTACTTAGACCTGGTAGACTTGATAGAAAAATTGGTATGTATTCTGCCAACATTTTGGTATACAAAAAAAACAACATGATCTGTTCAAATAAAAGCAGTATGAATTTTTCATGAACACTAAATGTTAGTAAAAATTTTGAAAAGTTAGATATACTGAAAATTTACTATTTGTCTTAAGCCATGTTTTATAGTTTTGCATTTAAATTAGTTGGAAATTACCAACAATGATGCCAAATTATATAACACGAAGAATCTTATTGTTATGCTTTTTAGTATTTTAATAACAAGAACTATAAGTCTTTATTTCATTTAGTTTCAAAAAAGTAGGGCTGGGAACGAATAAGGAATTTGATGTTCGAATATTTGTTATCCATATTTGAATATATTCGAATATTCGTTTTTACAACATTTGTTCCAATATTTCTCTTGGACGTATACGTATCCGAAATTGATTGCATTGAATACTATACTACTTTAATATGCTTGGAATAATAGACGATTAAAAAGACCTATATTACTACGTAAAAGTGTTTAATTTCATATATTGTAAATCAACATAAATGTTTACTTTTGAAATAAATTCATAATTTGATTGCCTTTTGTTCAGTTAATCCGACTGCTGATCATTTGTCTTATTAACGGGAGGTAACTCACGTGACTTGATTGACAGTAATATTCATGAATCACCGTAGCCTCTTAGCTCTTAACACATAAGTTATATCGAAAACTTAACTTGAATATTTTTTTTTTATTTAAAATTTTAGATAAGGTTTAAAACATTGTTCAGATAAATTTAGCTATAACGCAGTAAATATCACACAGATTCTAATTTCTACGGAATAAATATATTTTGACGGAATATAGACCCTGACCATGCTTTCCTAAAGCACCGATTAATGCATGTCGATTTTTTCGTCTTCACAAAATATAAGACAATTACTGATTAATCGGAAAGATTATTGCACAGAAAACAATAAATAAGATAATTAAAATCGGAAAGAATTACATTATATTCTGTTAAACAGGTAAATTGCAAACTGTGAAACGGGTGCCCTTTTGATCAACTAGACCCCAAAGTTTTCACAGTTAATTGGCGATAATCGTTGACACGCGTCATACAAACGTGTGAACACCTGGTCAAGTAAAGGTCAATGGTTTAATTTACGATCTTAATTGAAATTTGAAAGTAATAAAAAAACAAAACAAAAAAACATTCTTTTTTTTTTCGAATATTTGTATTCGTTTTTCATTGTTCGAATATTCGGTAGTGTTTTGAATATTCAAATATAATTCCCTGCCCTACAAAAAAGGTATATAACATATATCTCACTAAGGTATTTAAGTATAGTGCAAGACAATATTAGATATTGAGAGTGGTGCTATGATTTGTTCATTTCAGAAATTCCTCTACCAAATGAACAATCTCGTGCTGATATTCTCAAGATTCATGCTGCACCCATAGCAAAACATGGAGAAATAGGTAAACTCCAATTATTTATGTTTTCATGAAATTGTAAGGCAAAAAAAGGAAATATTTTTGTTGATACGATAGCTGGCATTGTCACTGTCCTCCAGATGTTATATCTGAATTGTTAAGAAAGTATTTGAATCTAAATTCTACATTCAAATTTCTTTATCATGAAATTTCAACAAAAAAAAATGAAATGATTTTACAAGAATACTGTAGCTAGTTTGTTCTTTATGCGTCTATGGCTGTGTGGTCAAACTAATTGACTTCTAATCACTTGCCCTTCAATGGTGTTTGTTTGAATCCTTCCATGGACTTAAGATTTATATATATGAGGAAGCTATCCAGCTAGCTTACAGAACACAAACACTTCTGCTAGGGGTGTCTCTGAGGTCATCCTCCACCAGGAGAGCAGTTAGCTGGAAAGTCATCATATGACTTATAGTGTCTGTCTTGTATCTTCTTGTATGGACCACTAAGTTTGATATAAATAAATCTTATGTTAAAGAAGTGACATGGAGCATCCATGGGTTTTATCTGCTGCTCATGTTTGAATTATTGATATGATTATTTTTTACAGATTGGGAAGCTGTTGTTAAATTATCTGATGACTTCAATGGTGCAGATCTGAGGAATGTCTGTACTGAAGCTGGTATGTTATTTACAAAATACTCATATACTTACAACAAAACAAAAAAACTACTCATATACTTGAAACTGTCCAAACATAGGTGAAGAAATATCATGGCTTTTCCTTATGTAGAAATCCTAATTCTAAATGGTATTAATGACAGACCATGTTATACAATTTATGTTAAATCAGAGTGAATATCTTTGACTGTATCAGTTAAGTCATACATGCCATAACGTCCCAGACGTCCGAGATTGTCCCGGAAATAAGGTATCTTTCCCAAAGGGTCCAGCAGATGATTTATGTCCTGGTAAAATAAAAATCAAAAATAAGATACTTTGCAGCCAGACTTAAATATATTATTATCAGAATCCCTAAAATTATTAGTTTTAAATTCAAAGGACTACAAGCCCATTTTATGAAAACCAGCCTGGTAAAGATTAATAAAAACTTTTTACAGAGTTACTGTACTTTCCTTATTTTCAAGCACCGACAATAGTCAAACTCGCTGTATAATTGTACTAGATAAATGTTAAGTTGTATTGATTATTTCAGGTATGTTTGCTATTCGTGCTGAGAGAGACTATGTTATAGAAGAAGATTTTATGAAAGCTGTCAGAAAAGTGGCTGATAATAAGAAATTGGAATCAAAACTGGATTATAAGCCAATATAATAATGTACATGTATACTTATAAAGTATGACCAAGATATTTAAAGTGCTGTCATTCATATATTATGTGAAATTCTAGTTTCATGGACAGTCATGTGACAAAGTATGACATTGAATAATACTTTACTTCTTGAAGACATATTAGTATGTAAAAGTAAAATAATATGAAAGTGAAGCTATGTATGATTTCTTTTTCTGCTTGTTTACAAAAGTTTCATTACTTGAAATAAATGCAAATGTGTTTCTCATTGAATAAGAGTTGATTTATTAATCATACCCATTACACATTATATGACTAGTAGAATAATCTTTTAGCTCTACAGAGCACACAATGCTGAAGGTGATCCATTGTGTCTTCCAATGTCTGCCATCCTTCGTCTCCTAGATCACCAGGTCAATAATGACAAAATTATACAGGAAATGATTTTTGAGTTTCAGTCTGTTGAACAAGAAGGCTGGTCTATAAAAAATGGCTACCAGAACTAACAATAGAAACTAGCTTTAAATGACATTTTTACCATATTCATTTGGTCAATAATGATGAACCTATACTGAAATGATCAGTGTTATGTCTTCCATTGCTCTGCTGAACAAAATGGCTGCCAGAAATAGAAACATACAAGCAAGATCTGCTCCTCAATTACTTAGTAGATTTTAATGAACTTTGGAGAAGTCTGTTACAAAAATTGCTGAAATGATTGCAGTCTGATGATTGAACAAGATGGCCACCAGTGCTAAAAGATGAAATAAGCTTTTAATGAAACATTCCAGTCACTTGGCCAATAGAGTTGAAACTATTCAGGAAATATTCTTATGTGGTCATTACCTAAATTGCTGAAACAGATCTTGTTTGCTGAACAAGCTGCCTGCTAGAACTAAGAATATTATATTTGTGTAGATTCAATACTAAATTTATTGAACTCGAGAGCCAGAGGCTCGCATAATATGATTTTATTCAACTCGTTCAATAAATTTAGTATTGAACTACACTCATTCAATATCCTCTATTTATTAAATAATGAATGAATGGATTGTCTTCATACTTCAAGACATCACCTTTCTGCACAGTTAAAACACAACTTTACCTTGACTATCTTTCAAGGTCAAATTATTGAATTTTTTTAAAATTGGCCAATACTTATTAAATAACTAGACAAAACGTTATACTTGTGTGACACATTGACTACTGTTTAAATAACCCAAATAATGTAATTTTTAATGTTAAATGACCTTGACCCAGACAAGTCAAATTCAATGAATCTTGCTTATATTATCTGACATTGATATATTTGATCAAACCTGGAACAACATGGAATAAGTAGAATATGAGCTTGTATGCCAATGTCAAATTCCTGATGTTTTTCTTAAATGTTCAATCTTTTAATTCATTTTTAATAAGATTTTTAGTGTTCACTCTCAGTATATTTCAGAAATATTGAGAGTTGCTTCTTTCAGATGCTATCATTATGTTATCAAGATTTGATCAGAAATGTGGTCCCTCACAGGGCGCCTCCAAATGTTACAATTTGTCATTTATTTTTTATGTGAATTGCATAAAAATTAAGATTTTTTACTAAAGAATACATGTATCAATCAACTACATTATTACAAAAATAATCAAAGACAACTCATATTAGTTCCTGACTTAGAATTATTAACTTTACCATTACACTACTATCAAATTACTACAGGGTTTTCATTTTTATCTGAGCCTTAGTACCAGATGTGCCAATGAAAACAACAGGGGATTCTTTCATTTTTTTTATGAAAACAACCGATTTGACAAAAGGTCATTGGGGTTATTTTAACCAACAGTCTGAAAATACAACCGATTTTAACAGCATTTTAGCTGATGATATGGATCGCCAATCTTAAAATAATGAAAACCCTGATTAAATATGAGTTTCCTGTATCCTGTCAGTTTTATAGTAAGTGTAAAATGTTATTTTTTTTAAATGATGTCAATCAACAAAGTTATCACAATTTAAGATCTATTCAATCACTAAACCTTAACATTCAAGGCCATATGAAGGTTAAGATCATATATGAAACATTCAACATGTTCAGTTTTCTTGCAAGTGTAAGAGATTGAAAAATTGTTCTATATTATGAACTTTGAAGGGACATGATTCAATGAACTAAAAGAGTTACTCCTCTTTGATATATTTTTTAATTCTAAACCAAAAGAGGAAGTAAAAATAAAGGAATTTCAACAAATATTATAAAAAAATCAAATATGCGTAAATATTAAACATATTCTATGGTATACACTGGAAAAAAGCAACAATTAAGTAAGTATTAACTTACTTTACACCCAATATTTCCAATATATAGTGAAAATAACATTTCAGTTAAAATTTGCAGGGTTGGGAATCAATCATAACTGCATAGTTACAACATACAAATTGTAAACAATACAATCTTTTCAATGAAAAAGATATAGTTTTATTTTTTACTCTTTGATGGAAATGGCTTAAAACCAGATATACATTGTAGGTACATGTATTAACATGCTCAACAATTTCATTTGGTACATGTTGCTTAGTTTAAGCAGAACTTTTTTGTAATACAGAAGTAACAGCGCTCTAACTTGAAGCAAGCCAGAATTTATATGAAGCTGTGTGGATCGATACGCGTCAACACAGTTTATATTGCTTTAACTACCTTTCTTTCCTTCAAATCAATCATACACTCATTTCAGAGTTTTAACCATAAACTTCAAAATTCATATATTGTCTTGCATCATTTACTAAAATTTCATTTAAAATGGATGTTAATTTTTCAAGAAAAATGTGATTTGTACGGAATGATATAATGCAGTTGAAAATAAAATAAAATATGACGCTGCCAGTTGTATCTGTTGACAATCTTTATAAAATTGTAACATATGTTGCTTTGGAATATTAAGAATATATGTTGTTTCATTTCATATATTATAAAGATTAAATTTTGCTTTGAAAGTTTACATTGTGGAAGCTTAACTGCACATATATAAATGAACAAATTGCTACATAATTTATAACAACTTATCACATCAACCCTGGTGCAGGAGTGTAATAAAACCATTAAATAAAATGATATTAATCTAGTGATATAACACTTTCGTTATACATACAAACATTATTGCACACAAAGTTTGCTAATGTTTACACTTAATAGGTGCATCAATGAACAAGAGCCCGGTTTGAGCCGGGTGATGCTCCCCGAATAGGTTTTGGACACAGGAAAGTACACCTCTTGTAGTTTCAGAGTTATGTCCCTGGAAAAAGTTCAAAGTGCAATAATTCCAAAATTAGGAAAGGCAGAGTTACTGTTCTTTGCACTGCACTTCTAATCACTGTTATCTATCAACTTACAAAGTTTCTTGTTGATATCTCTTATGGTTTCCGAGTTATGTTCCGGACAACTTCAAAAAGTAAAAATAAACAAAGGGCAATAACTCCAGAATTAGGCAAGGCAGAGTTATGATTCTCGTGCACTGCACTTCTACCCATTGAGATACATCTACCTACAAAGTTTCATGTTAATATCTCTTATAGTTTTACAGCTATGTCCAGTACAAGATTTTTCTAAAAGGGGAGATAATTCAAAAATGAGGCTTAACAGAGTTATGGTTTTTTTTGCACTGCACTTCTATTCAATGAGATATATCTACCTACAATGTTTCATCTTGATATCTCTTATAATTTTAGAGTTATGTTCCGGACAAAGTTCAGTGTTAAAATTAACAAAGGGCAATAACTCCAAAATTAGGACAAAAAGAGTTATTGTTCTTATGCACTGCACATCCACCCATTGAGATCTATTCACCTACAAAGTTTCACGTTGATATCTCTTATAGTTATAGAGTTATGCCCCGGACAAGATTTTTCTATAAGGGGAGATAATTCAAAAATGAGGCTTAACAGAGTTATGGTTCTTTTGCACTGCACTTCTACTCAATGAGATCTATCTACCTACAATGTTTCATCTTGATATCTCTTATAATTTTAGAGTTATGTTCTGGACAAAGTTCAAAGTGTTGAAATTAACAAAGGGCAATAACTCCAAAATTAGGACAAAAAGAGTTATTGTTCTTATGCACTGTACATCTACCCATTGAGATCTATTCACCTACAAAGTTTCATGTTGATATCACTTATAGTTTTAGAGTTATGCCCCGGACAAGATTTTTCTATAAGGGGAGATAATTCAAAAACCGAGCAAAATAGAGTTATGGTTCTTTGACACTGCACTCCCCCTCAATGCCCTCTACCACTGTATGAAGTTTAAACAAATTATCTCCAAGGGTTTTTAAGTTATGCTCCGGACAAGAAAACGGACGGACAGACGGACAAGGCGCCGACTATATGCTCCCCCGAAATGTTTTGGGGAGCATAAAAAATTACTCTTTTTCAATAGTTTATCATTCTTATTTTAGATATGTGATAAATAGAATATTATATTTGTGTATGTTCAACACTAAATTATTGAACTGGTTGAATAAAACAATGATTATGATAATGCCAGTAGTTCATATAATATGAGCCGCATCACGACAAAACCAACATAATGCGTTTGCGACCAGCATGGATCCAGACCAGCCTGCGCATCCGCGCAGTCTGATCAGGATCCATGCTTTTCATTTACCAACCCTATTACAAGTCGCAAAAGTGATAGCGTACAGCATGGATCCTGATCTATGATTCCTGCTTTTTACACTAACATAATCAAATAAAAATTCTGATAAATGAAAAACAATAAATTTTTTATCTCTTGAATTTTTTTATTGATGTTGTTTATTTATTCAAATATTTTGTTGTTTTTTTTTTAATTTCTAGGATAACTTTATACTGTTCTGTCTGGTGATATCATGAATAAATGAGTAAAAAATAAGCAGGTTTATAATTATTTAAAAGGCACTTTATGACAAAATTAAACAGTTGCCTATCAACTTAAATTACAGGATGTTTCAAACACCTGACAACAGAGAAAACCTATCACTGAAGTTATCAGAAGTTCTAGATGATATTGGTATCAATGAACAAATGGTTATGAGAAGAAGAGAAATGCAAACGCTGAAGGAGAATGTTGCAACTGTTGTACGTAGGTTCCTTGATGAATTTATAACTATATATATACTAGGGAGTCAGAGTGAAGGAACAACAACTATAGGACTTCATTCAGACATTGATACACTATACTGTTATCACGATTATAATATAATACAAGACTTGTCAGAGTGGGAATATGACAAAGATAACTACTTCATGATACAAGATGAGAACACAACCCCTGGGTATTGTTTCCTACAACTGCTCAGACACGATAGACCTCTTCCTGCCACTGACATTCCTGATAAAGATCATATAACTGATAGAAAAGGAAGAATTTTACTTAAGAACTCTAAAAAAATTGATTTAATGTGTAAAGGTGCTGTACAGCATGGACCTTCAATTGCTAAGCATGGACAGCATTTATTTTATGATAGAGACTTAGTGTTAGCTTTTCCCTGTAAGTCATGGCCTCAGTCAGCTTCAGGATGGTTAGAGAGACAGGGTATTGGAAGATGGCCAACACAACAGGTCAAAAGAGATGCAGCCAGTACTCCATGTTTTGTTGTTCCGACTGGAAGTAAGGTCAGTGTATATCCTGAACTAGAATGGAGAATATCTACGTCCGTTGCAGAAAGATGTATAATGTTTAATTTAAATATAACACAAATAAGATGTTTGGTGTTAATGAAAATGATTCTTAAATCCTTCCTGAATCCTCAAGGGGGAATAAATTTATCAAGTTTCATGTGTAAGACAGTTCTATTACATTGTATAGAAAACACAGAACGAAGTAAATGGAAAGAGAACAATTTATTGACATGTTTAATATTCTGCTTACTTGAATTAAACAGATGTATACAGAATGACCATTGTTCTCACTTCATTATACAGGAAAACAATTTGTTTGCTGGGCAATTTACACCTGTGACAAAATATGACCTTTCAAACATTTTAAGTGATTTTATACAGAGCATTGAACAAATGATACTTGGAATTGATATTGACGATCTTGGATGTAGACTTCAAGTTAAACTGAACATAGTACCACAAAGAGCATATGATTTTCCTTCTTCTTTTGAAATACGTGAAGAAAATTCATTTGATAATAATTATAAATTTGCAATGGAATTAAGTGATATGCACTTTCAAATCTTAGAAATATTAAACGATGAACATAATACAACAATGAAACAATCTGTTGAAATACTAGTGGCTTATAGCAAAATTGGTAATTGGCTAGCGCAAGATTCATTCCACCTTATACTTCCTTTTCTCTTTACAACACATGGAACTCTCCTGGCATCATACAGCATTGGTGAAAATAACCAAGTGTCACCTGAAACAATGGCTTTGCTATTAAATGGTGTGAACTCTGACTATACATCAGGCAGACTGAAACTGGCTTCAGTATTGTACTGTACAGGAGATATGGAGAATGCTGAAATAATTCTGAGACACAAAGAGCAAACATATCACTTTTTTCCTGTTTTACCTGTCTGTAATTGCTGGGAGAATACACCACCACAAACAGGAACTGCAGAATTCATGAGTGTATGCACTAAACAAAGTATCAAACATAATACTGCATTTTGTGTCAGATTCATAAGGCCGGAGATCAACTGTGTTCCTCATGAGCTACAATATGAAATGTTTAGATCTACACAAGATGACATGACACACAGGGATAAAACAGATGACTGTTGGATGGACTGGGCTACAGTTGATTCCCTACCTTTCCTATATTTCCTACAATACAAGGTCTATGGTCATCTACAAAGATATCTAGATCAACAACAAGCACTTAATAAGCTTATAAAAACCATAGAAACAGATGAAAACCTTGGACACAGAGAAACAGCTCTCAATATATTAGGACAATGTATGGAACAAGAAAACAGACCACAGCATGCATTAAAATGCTACATGCTTTCTCTTGGAGAAAGGAAAAGAAACAATGCAGCAAAGTACCATATATGTCGACTTCTTTCTCGAGTATTGGATGACCAGTAGAATTTGGGATGTTTGTTTTCAAATGTTTGAAATACTTCTTGTCCTATTTAGACATATCCAAGTAATATGATATACTTTGCATTTAATTGAGGATTGTATCAAACATATTACAGCATTCACATTCATTCTTACAGGAGATAAACTGTGTTCGTCATGAACTACATTATGAAATTTTCAGATCTGGACAGATTTCATGTTGCACAAAAATAAAAAAGAAGATTGTTGGATTGACCGTGTTTTGGTTATTTTCTCTATCTTTCCTTTACTTCCTACTTCCTTATATGATCTTATAATGGTCATCCAAACAGAGACCACGATCAACAACACTCAGTAATCTTATATGAACCATCATAAGTAATGACTTTGTACTAAAAAAGCTCTCAATATTTTCGGGCAATTTATGGAACAAGAAATTAGGCCTCAGCATGCATTTAAAAAGCAATAAAAGAACAATGCAACAAACTTACAAATTTGCCATCTTCTCTGTTGTCTCATAAAAGTTGGCTAAAACACAATAAGATAGAATGGGACAATTATCATTATAAATGAATATTATTTGCCTAAATCATAGAGAACAAATGAGCCGTGTCACGACAAAACCAACATAGTGGGTTTGCTACCAGCATGGATCAAGACCAAGCCTGCGCGTCCCTGCAGTCTGATCTTAGGATCCATGCTGTTTTCTATCAGTTTCTCTACTTGTAAAAGGATTTGTAAGCGAACAGCATGGATCCTGATCAGACTGCGCAGGCTGGTCTGGATCCATTCTGGTTGCAAACGCATTATGTTGGTTTTGTCGTGACGCGTCTCAAATCAATTTGCAGCCGTATTGATCTTCCAGTTATCCATCAACCACACTTCACATGCCTTAGTTTATAACTTTTACAACAAGAAACATGGCAATGCCACGAAACCAGGTTTTCAATTATCTCCATTGTAGATAAATATGACGTTGTATTTGAAATACAAATACAAGCAATAAACAATGTAACTATGTGCAATGTAAAACATGAATAATGTAGGAGGAATTGCCACAGAAGAAGTGTTCACTATATATTCTGTATAAGGAAAAAATATATTCTGTATAAGGAAAAAAAAACAAAGGGCCGTAATTAGGTCAAAAATTATCCAATCACAAAACCTCTACAATATGCGCCAGGGCACTTGATGATATGGCTTCTGTGAAAGTTTGAACAAAATCTGTTGAGAAATGTAGGACTAGTTCAGCACAGAAGAATTTGATCATTATATATTGAGGAAAAAAAACAAAGGGGCATAATTAGGTCAAATATTATCAAATCACAAAACCCCTACAATATGCGCCAGGGCACTTGATAACAAAGCTTCTGTGAAAGTTTGGTCAAAATCTGTTGAGAAATGTAGGAGAAGTTGCGCACTGTAGAAATTGTTCACTATATATTCTATATAAGGAAAAAAAACAAAGGGTCATATAATTACGTCAAATATTATCCAATCACAAAACCCCGATAATATGTGCCAGGGCACTTGATAACAAAGCTTCAGAGAAAGTTTGGTCAAAATCCGTTGAAAAATGTAAGAGGAGTCGCGCACAGAAGAAATTGTTCACTATATATTCTATATAAGGAAAAAAAAAACAAAGGGCTATAATTAGGTCAAATATTATCCAATCGCAAAACCCGGACAATATGTGCCAGAGCACTTGATGACAAAGCTTCTGTGAAAGTTTGGTCAAAATCCGTTGAGAAATGTAGGAGGAGTTGCGCACAGAAGAAATTGTTCACTATATATTCTATATAAAAAACAAGGAACATCGCAATGCGATGCAACCAGGTTTTCAGCAAAATATTTCACAGAAGATTTGTCATGAAGGGGCATTTGTTTTTAATTGAACTTTTAGGAGGAATTATGGCTTTTTTAATATTCCTCAAACAAAAATGATTGAGAAATTTTATGTTGTCTATTCGCCTTTTTTTCCCAAATGTTTTAGAAAGGTAAACAGTACTTTATTTTTGCTTAATTTTTGCATTTTTGCGTCTCTTGTCATTTTCTTTTGTCAACAATATTGGCGTGTGGTGTTTTGTGCGATATCAAGAAAAGTATGTTCACAATTTAAAAAAAATACTTGAATGATGTCTTGGAAGAAACATGGGAATTTAGTGAGTGCCAGGGCACTTGATGACAAAGCTTCTGTGAAAGTTTGGTCAAAATCCATTGAGAAATGTAGGAGAAGTTGAGCACTGTAGAAATTGTTCACTATATATTCTGTATAAGGAAAAAATATACAAAGGGCCATAATTCGGTCAAATATTATCCAATCACAAAACCCCGACAATATGTGCCAGGTACTTGAAAACAAAGCTTCTAAGAAAGTTTGGTCAAAATCCGTTGAGAAATGTAGGAGGAGTTGAGCACAGAAGAAATTGTTCTCTATATATTCTGTATAAGGAAAAAATATACAAAGGGCCATAATTAGGTCAAATATTATCCAATCACAAAACCCCGACAATATGTGCCAGGCACTTGATAACAAAGCTTCTAAGAAAGTTTGGTCAAAATTCGTTGAGAAATGTATGAGGAGTTGCGCACAGAAGAAATTGTTCACTATATATTCTATATAAGGAAAAAAAACAAAGGGCCATAATTAGGTCAAATATATACCAATCGCAAAACCCTGGCAATATGTGTCAGGGCACTTGATGACAAAGCTTCTAAGAAAGTTTGGTCAAAATCCGTTGAGAAATGTAGGAGGAGTTGCGCACAGAAGAAATTGTTCACTATATATTTTATATAAGGAAAAAAAACAAAGGGCCATATTAGGTCAAATATTATCTAATCGCAAAACCCTGGCAATATGCGCCAGGGCACTTGATGACAAAGCTTCTGTGAAAGTTTGGTCAAAATCCGTTGAGAAATGTAGGAGGAGTTGCGCACAGAAGAAATTGTTCACTATATATTCTATATAAGGAAAAAAAACAAAGGGCCATAATTAGGTCAAATATATACCAATCGCAAAACCCTGGCAATATGTGTCAGGGCACTTGATGACAAAGCTTCTGAGAAAGTTTGGTCAAAATCCGTTGAGAAATGTAGGAGGAGTTGCGCACAGAAGAAATTGTTCACTATATATTTTATATAAGGAAAAAAAAACAAAGGGCCATAATTAGGTCAAATATTATCTAATCGCAAAACCCCGACAATATGCGCCAGGGCACTTGATGACAAAGCTTCTGTGAAAGTTTGGTCAAAATCCGTTGAGAAATGTAGGAGGAGTTGCGCACAGAAGAAATTGTTTACGCCCGCCCGAAAGCCCGCCCGCCCGCCCGCCCGTCCGCCCGCCCGCCGACATACCTCAATCTAATAACCAGTTTTTTCCTTCGGAAAACCTGGTTAAAAACAAAGGGCCATAATTAGGTCAAATATTATCCAATCGCAAAACCCCGACAATATGTGCCAGGGCACTTGATGACAAAGCTTCTGTAAAAGTTTAGTCAAAATCTGTTGATAAATGTATGAGGAGTTGCGCACAGAAGAAATTGTTCACTATATATTCTATATAAGAAAAAACAACAAAGGGCCATAATTAGGTCAAATATTATCAAATGGCAAAACCCCGACAATATGCCCCAGGGCACTTGATGACAAAGCTTCTGTGAAAGTTTGGTCAAAATCCGTTGAGAAATGTAGGAGGAGTTGCGCACAGAAGAAATTGTTTACGCCCGCCGCCCGCCCGTCCGCCCATCCGCCCGCCGACATACCTCAATCTAATAACCAGTTTTTTCCTTCGGAAAACCTGGTTAATAATACAAGGCTTTCTTCCATAAAATTTAGCACAGTTAGGATTTAACTGAATTAAGAACATTAACCTTTTCTCTTATATAAGCGTGTTTTGACGGTTTTTTGCCCCCCCCCCCCTCCCCTTTTGTAGCCTCAATGAAAAAAAATGCCCTATTTAGGCCCCAAACACTGTTTTTTTTCGTTTGAGAAATATTGTTAAAAAGTGACTTTTTTTTCGCTGCAGCCGCCCCCCCCTACCCCCCCCCCCCATCCCCCCGCCCCGTCAAAATGATACATCAGGGGGTTGCCAGAAGGTGGATGTGCCCCCTTTTGTTTGAGGGGGTTTAAAGGGGGGCAGTAGTCCCCCTCATCGCCAAGAACATTTTGGACATGTCACAGTCTAAAAATGGCCTCAGGTCGATCTTAAGGTGACGTGAAACCAATGCTGAAAAGCCTTTTACTCATCTCAATGCAATGAGAAGATGCAGCACTTTGAAATCAGTTTTGATGGAAAGAAACAATGCATAATGGTGATTTTTAGCAATTTTGAGACATTCCCCGTTGCCACGGTAACAGGAAATTTAAGATTGAGCAAGTTATGGTTCAGTCAACTATGTGCCAAGTTTCATCAGTATTGAAGCATTTTTCATAGTTTTATAGCAGTTGGAACTTGTAACAGTAGGCTTTTCAATGAAAATGGCCATTTTTCACAATATGCTCATGGGGTAAAAGGTTAAGGAATATATTTATTTATATCAAGATATAAACCAAAATGCAATTAATCAATTTTTCAAAAATTAAGATATCTATTAAAAGATCTTCAATTTATCAATGGCCTAGACTGTTCATTTGTATTTATTTCTGTTATTAGATTGTATTTATGTGATTTAGCAATTTCATTTTGTACAAGCTATATGACAGAGTAAAGCCTTTATTTAAGTGACCTTCTCAGAGGAAGGGGTAGCAGCAACCCCCCCCCCCCCTCATCCCCAAGAAAATTTTGGACTGGAGGGGCTAAAAATCGCCTCACATTGTTCTTTATGTAACATGTAAACAACACTGAAAAGCCTTTCACTCTGTCTCAATCTAATGAGAATTTGCACCTCTTAGAAATCAGTTTTGATGGAAAAAAATCAACGCAAAATAGTGATATAGTGATTTTTGGCAATTTTGAGATGTCCCCTTGTTGCCATGGTAACAGGAAATTTAAGATTGAGCATGCTGTACAAAGACTTTGGTCGAGTATGAATATGTGCCAAGTTTCATCAATTTTGAAGCATTTTTTATAGTTTAATAGCAATTTGAACTTGTATCAGGAGTGTTTTCAATGAAAACAGCCATTTTAACAAAATGCTCATGCAGTACTTCAAACTCCATGCACCGGTTACGCTACGGTCAGTAATCCTGTAAGGGGAGATCACTGCGTAGAAGATTGGCAGTAATTGGTCAAGACCTATTTACTTCAAGTATAGAAGTCTATTGAAACTAATGTGACACATACAGTAAACTTGTAATAAATCAAGGTACATAATCAATAGATTTTTTCCATTACGCAATACAAGCCAAATATCCAACTTATTTGAATTTTTGTTTTATACACAATAAGACTTGTGTTTTCCTATGCAAGTCTCTACTGACTTTATGATCCTGGGACTAGACCATTTTTGAGCCCAGGCCCCCGAGGACATCATTTATATTACTTGCATAATACTATGTGATGCTACATAAATATCCATGCTCTTAAGCATTGCAGGTTTGAAAAATATTTTCAAGAAATATTTACCATTTAATTCTATGTAAACCAAGCGACCCCATAGGGTGCCCCAGTAGAATGATTTATATAATCTTTGCAACAGTCCACTTCATATGTTTTTGTTTTATATCATTCAAGGTTTAAAGTAAAACAAATGTTAGACCAATTGCACATTTATTGTACATATATATACATGAAATGACAGTTCTTTACTCGGAACTATACTATACAAGACTACAAAACATAGTTACAATTGAGACATCTCTATTGATATAAATAATCATACCAAAATATTACACATACAATCAACAAACAATAAGCTAATGCCATAGAAATGAAACCGAGATAATGAAAACAGGCATTGAACATTAAAAAAAATCTTTGTTTCAAAAATAAAATATACAAATTCCTCCTTGATTTAATTCTTGTAACAATATACATGTACATTCAATATTACAAAATGAAATTTATTTCATTCAGAATGTGTTTAACAATAATATAATCGGAGACAAATGATGCTCCCATACTATTAGTGTATCATTAAAAGTTTAAAACGGAGGAGAAACGACGAGAACTATAAATAGAACTGACCTATGACTGACCAAATTATTTTTCCATAATGAAGGACAATGAATTTTCAGCTTATACATTTACACATGTACCACATCATCCCATCTACTGTGAACATATGTGCAGCTAATTCCATTAAAAGAAGAGACAAGCCACATGCCAGGCCGGTACTGTTATATACACTGTGTAGGTTAACCATTTCTTGCATATCAGACTGGCGTTTCCGTTAGTTTTACCCATGCCATAAATTTCATCTGGCATGGGGGGTTCCAGATGAGTCGCGTGCTGTGCAATGGCACGATAAAGATGATGTCATTTTACCGTTATGAATGATTTTGTAATTCATACGCTGTTGAATGAATGTAGTTACGGTTGTAATGACATTGAAAATAAAGATAAAGAATTTAAAATATAATGGAATATGGTAGAATATGCAAGAAAAAATATCTGACATATGTTTGCAGTTCGAATCAGAATATCCGTCCCTCGGTCACCCTCCCATGGGCGGGTCACCTCGGGACGGATATTCCGATCCGAACCGCAAACATATGACAGATATTATTAATATCATTTTTTAACAATGGGTAATTGTAATATATATGCATACTTGTGGGGTATTTCCCCCCCAGAAGATTTTGCTAAATATAATGACCTGGTAAATGAATAGGGATTTGACCGGGGTTTTGTGTGTGTGTACTTTTGTCTTTAGGTTTTGATGCATTTTACTTACATCTACTCACACATGTTAAGACATGTACACACACATGTTAAGAGTTAACACAAACTGCATTTTCAATAAGGGTTACAAAGGCATTTAGAGCCTGTATATTACCACTAGCACAATATTAATAAATATATATCCCTCTCTATTTGGAATGTTACATTATATTTATACAAATTCAATAAAACTGAATATGAACAGACATATCTACAATTGAAATTAAAACTTTGGAATACTTGTTATTCTATAAAAACAAATGATCAGATAATATTTCATCACTAAATGGCACAGTAAAAGAAGCACTTTATTCTTGTAATGCAGTTTGTTATAAAGTAAGACATGTAGGACAGCATGCTCGACTTTTCTCAGTGCTTGATAGTAAAACAAGAACCTAAATAATGTAAAATTTTCTAAGTTCAAATACAAATATTTATTATGTCAAAATCAATGTTACAGTTATATGGGCCTTTGACAGTGACCTCCTATTATGCTCTAAAATAAGGGTGTGAAGATTAAACCCGTTGCCTTTAGAAGTTTTGGATATATTAACTGGCAAGTAAAAACTTAACCAAAGTGTGACAATGACAGAGTGTACAATAGCTCTCCCCATTCTCTGTATAGTCGAGCTATTAAACACAAAACATGAATAATGTATGAAATAAAATATACATAGGTTAACCTATTAGATGGTAATATTACATCTGCAAAAACATAAAAAACCATTTATCTATGGTTGAAAATACACAGTGAAGAAAAAATTCAATATAACTTTCAACAAGCAATATAATAAATAGATTCTCTTTTTTAATTTTTCTCAATTTAAGATAAACTTTACCTTACACAAAAACTTCCATATAAATTGACTCATTCAATATCCAATACAGTGAACAATTAACACACTATTTAAGGAAAATGTCATAAACAGTTTTAAGACTTTTTGTCTGGATTGCTACATGAAATCTCCCAATTTTGATGCTGAATGTAGCCTGTAACAGTGCACATACAGTACCTTTCCCTAAAATAAAAAGAACCTAATCCCAGCTCTGCTATTTAAACCACGTCATGACAAAACCAACATAACGCGTTTGGGACCAGCATGGATCCAGACCAGCCTGCGCATCCGCGCAGTCTGATCAGGATCCATGCTGTTCTCTATCAGTTTCTCTACTTGCTATAGGGTTTGTAAGCGAAAAGCATGGATCCTGATCAGACTGCGAGGATGTTTTTTTTGTCATGACGCGGCTCATTTTACATAGAAAGCAATCGAACAAATAACACAACAACAAAATATTTTATACACCTATCATCAGCAGCAAAATGTCATGGTGTGAGATATGGGTTGGCATGGTAACAGTTTGGTGCGACATTTATTGGTTCATCAAGTAGCTGGTGTTGTCTTGTTTGTATTGGGTTTGATCAAAGGTGGAGGCTGCTGTAAAATTGTTCGCTGGTTCTGTTGAGGTAAAAGTCTGAAACATAACAAAATTCAAATACACATACTTTTGAAGAAATACAATCATTGTAATATGATATAATCATTTGTAATACGAATCTATAAAAAAAAAATATAAATAAAAATTTTATATGGAAATCATTTATAAACAGGAATTCTTTTATAAAATTTCTCTATGGAAATCATTTTTAAAAAGGAATTCTTTTATAAAATTTCTCTATGGAAATCATTTATAAACAGGAATTCTTTAATAAAATTTCTCTATGGAAATCATTTTTAAACAGGAATTCTTTTATAAAATTTCTCTAAGGAAATCATTTTTAAACAGGAATTCTTTTATAAAATTTCTGTATGGAAATCATTTTTAAACAGGAATTCTTTGAAAAAATTCCTCTATGGAAATCATTTATAAACAGGAACTCTTTTATAAAATTTCTCTATGGAAATCATTTTTAAACAGGAATTCTTTTATAAAATTTCTATATGGAAATCATTTATAAACAGGAATTCTTTTAAATATTGAAAGTAAGCTGTAAAATATCATTAACAATATACTTTGCCATCATGTTATAACACGCCCTGTTATAACACTTACCCAGGTATATATATATATGTATATTGATACATGCTGTAACCGCTATAAGGCTTATTTAATTTGACAGTCAAGTACAATAAACAATTGTTACTAGGACACTCAAGAGTGCAGCGGGTGTTAAAAGCATGATCAAAGGTTAGCATTAATCCACTCTTTAGGTTTTTTTCAGCCTGGTATCGAAATGTTATTACAATCTCATATTTGTAGCTAAAAGTTCAGAAATGAACAGTGACAGGAAAGATCTAATTACATCAGGCTTACCTTTGTTGTGATTTTTGTGGAGATTCCGACTGTGCTTGTTTGAGGAGAGGGGGTGGGGCACTTGCTGGAATCGGAGAAGCTGTCTTTACTGGTTCTATATCCTTAGGATCTATCTCCATCTGAAACAAATAATAAATGAGCCGCGTCTCGACAAAACCAACATAATGGGTTTGCGACCAGCATGGATCCAGACCAGCCTGCGCATTCCGGCAAGTATGGATTACGCGAATCCATTTGCTCGTTTGATGCTAATCAGTTCATTCTAGCTACATTTGCTATGCTACAGGGAATTGTAAATAGACGAACTTAGCATGTGATCTCTTGTCGAGACTGCGGCGTGAGGAGCAGCGGTCTGGATCACTGCTGGATCGCAAAGCGCTTATGTTGGTTTTGTCTTGCTTGCGGAACTGATAAATGCAATTTAATACAATCAACAAATAGTGATATTTCTTCAACAGATTACTTTGGATTCAAAACTTCATAGCACTAGTTTTAACTATTTGCCAAAAGACTTACAAGATGTTAACCTTTCAATGTGTGAAGGACATTATGAATTCAAAACACAAATTATGAAAATTAACTCGAGAATGTTAAAATCTTACCACTTCAACATCATTGTCTATTTTAGCCTTTGATGACTCAAGTCCGTGTTCAGCTTCATACTCGGCCAGTACTTCATCAAGGTTGTATCTACGTCGAAAATTAACAAAGAAACTTCGTACATGGGCCTCTGTTTTTGTACCAATTACTTCGGCAATTGCACTGAAATCTTTCCCATACTTTCTCACACCTTTGTAATAATAACAAAACTCAATGTAATCTATAATAACTCTTGAAACATATCCAGCAGTTAAAATATAGCAATTTTTTTAATCTTACATATTATAACCATGGTAGAGTAATTTTAATAAATTACTTAAACCTATTTTATTGCATCAAATACATGTCAAATATTATACAAATGAGGGTATATAACAAAAAGCAAATGGGTAGGGCAACAAGTTCTAGCAACATTAGATTAAGCCCTTCCCCGAAATGACCATTACAAATTACTAATAAGCCACTGCCCACTTACTGTAAAGAAGCATTAAATCCAATTAATTAGCATATATCATAGTTGGTTTTCTTGTAGTTTTATTTTTTTTAAGACAAAAAATGATTATACATTTTGCTGTACATCATTGACTGGTTAAATACACTGAATACAGAGAAGATCCAGTCTATACATAATGAAGTAATAACCTTTACCTTGTACAGCCAGTAGCAGCTCCTCATTCGTCCATTTAGAGTTAATTTTGTTACCAGTATCACTAAATTTAAACATCTCTGATCCACCAGTTAGTTTATGTTTTAATAAGCCCATCATTTGTTTGTTGTTCTGTACCTATAACACAACAAGATCATAAACATTTAAACTTCTCTGCTATAAAATAATACTCTTTACCCACTTAATAATGTACACACTTAGTTCTTTGTTTGTTTAATTACAAGTAATATAATAAACACAAAAAATTGACTACTTCCAATAAATGTTCACTTCTATTTTTTATAAGTCTACAACACTTATTTACATTCAGGCCATACCCCTTTTTGCCCTTATACAACACAATATTTTTACAGCTGTTAGGCAGATAAATTCTCAAGGCTGATATATTCATTTATGATAAGACAGTTCAGCAATGTTTAAATTGTTACAGAGTATAAAATATTGACAGCCCATAAAGTAGCAACATAACAAACCTGTCTTTTAGCAGAAACTAGTTCAGTATCAAGTGATTTAAGTATCGCCTCAGCTTGACCAGGTGGTCCAGATACCATAGACTTGAGATCATCATTACTGAGATACATTCCCCTCGGAGGTTTACGCTTATGTCTCATTGGGTTGTGTCGATGTTGACCATGTTCATGTCTCTTTGCTCCAACACTTCTCATTACACCTGTTCTTCTGTTATATATACAAATACAATTAAATCCTACAACTGCTGAATTAACCCTGCTTTGATTTTTGGACAGTATATTAACTGTTTTAGGGAGTTCAACATCAAATTGCATTATAAAATTGAGCAAAGGATTAATGATTGAAATGTACAAAAATCCAAAACATTATGTTTTCTTTCATAATTTCACAAAATACAAGAAACTATTGAGTCCTTATAATTTTCAAACAGTACATTGTGAAATTATTTGCACACATTATGACCAAGAAAAATTAACAATTTAAGTGACAACATGACATGATACTTAAGGCTAAAACCTCTTGCCAATAATTATCATTTGAGACTAGAAGAAGGTATTTACAAACTGTGGTCAACATTCCATCCAAAATGTCAGTTAATTTCATACTGAATTTTTCATTAGCTTATTGTTAAGGCACTTACACAAATTACATCAATACCTTTAAAATCAGCATGACTTACAATGTATAAAGTAAATATTCCTAAGGTGCAGTTCAACAGTATGAGTCAGGGATTTTTTAAGACATGGATTCTTATCTTCGTATAATTGGTGGAAATCAGGTCCTGAGGTTATAAAAGTTTTTCTGAGCTTTATGTCAAATCTCAGGATTTCCATTGGTCAGTGTAAATTCTGTGCCGGCTTCCGAGATCCGAGTTTGAGCTGAGAAATTTTGTTAATAACCTCAGGCCCAAGTCAACATCCTGAGCCTATTGCCCATTTTCAAATTCCCACTGTTGGAAGCTACCATATACTAAAAGTCATATATGTATGCCTGTCAAGCACGGGCAAAATATAAATTGGTGATGCTCTGCATTTATAAAACAAAGTGCTGAACAGGAACAAATACTAACCTCCAATACTGGTAACATGATGTGCACATTGATCCTTTTGGTGTAGGGTTAAGTTGTGATGACATTACACCACAGTTAGCACAACTGTTGTCATCCTTCTGTAATTACAAAAATACATAACTTTAGTATGTATAGCTTATAACCTAAATAACTTAAAAACTTATGCAACATGAATTATAATAATAACCCTAATTCTTATACAAGAATAGCCTCAACTAACACCATAACTATCTCCATATCCAATGTCTATAGATGGTAAAGTCAAGTGATATTTTAACTATTATATTCCTTTTAACTCTGATCTCAAGAAGTCTTTCTAATATACTCTATATATAGTTTGAAATCAAAAAAGAAAACACAATAAATTTCATTATAATTTCAAGTTTTATAAGTGTAAGCAGACATGCAGATGATCCTCGCTGTATTAGTCTTTCAAACTAGTGCCCTTTGTTATCCCAACGTTTACAAAACAAAAATCCTTCTAAAAATAGGAGAGAACTTACAGCTTCATCTTTATTTTCTTCAGTATCTGAATTATTCTTGCTGCCATTCTCAGAATCATCATCTCTACAATTATAATTTCACAAGATATGAGATTTACATTTTCAGTCTTCAATTTTCACTAACAAAGTACAAGTTATGGTAATACAAGTGGATCTATAACACTGAAACCCGACACACAAACATATACAAGGCCTGTGCAAGGTGACTATTTTATATGTGAGAACTGAATTTCCCTAACAGACAATGCCTCAATATCATATGACAGTACTCAATTCTGATAACAAAATTTGCTGTAATATGAGAGAACTCAACTCCTCTAACAGAATTAGAACCAACAGCAAAATTTGTATATCTTATGAAGTATCAGGCTGAAAATACCTGACATTAAAACTGTTTAATTAATTATATGTACAGATTTTTATACAATACTTCTAGTATGTGTTGTCAAAATTTGAGGTAAGAAATCATTGGCTATCAAAAATACTCACAACTTGTCGCCATCTCCTTTCATTGTAAATTTCTTTGCCTGTCTGTCCATCAAACTAGTTCTAGATCTTGTTTTCTTCCAGGAATAGTAATACTTCACCAGAGATGCAATAGATTTATCTGGTAACTGAAATTTATAATTGTTACGATGTATAAATAAAGAAATAAAATCAATTTATAAACAATAAAACAAGAATTGTTAGATACATATAACGCACTTTACTATTCTTTGGACTTTATAGAAGAAACAAGGGTTTTGCATAACTTTTATTTTTAAATAATGTCTACCAAGGTGAATGTTTCAATGATTATTTATACTACAATTATGAATCTTTGTCAGTTGTGTCTATGAAGAATGTCCACTGTTTCAATTAACATGTATTAGCGATTTAGTGATTAAAGAGTTTGAACTTCCCAACAATTCCTTTAAACATTTCTATAAAATTCAAGAGGTGGACAACTTCACTGCACAAATTTAGGCGTAAAATGTAAAATAATTATATGGTTACATTAATCAACTCACCATTTGTCTGATTCTGTGAAAACTTTTGCCATGAAAACTGAATGCTTGTTCAAACAGGACTTTATCTTCTACAGTCCATTCATCAGGAAATGGTGTAAAGTTGGGTAGGTCTGCTAAAGCTTTTTCTACATTGTGTTTATGCCAAAATAACATACCAAGAGCCTATAAAATAACATCTCAAATTTTAAAATCCTAGTGGTGATAAAAGATGTAATGGTACACTTTGAATGGTCAACTGTAATTGTTTGGCTATAGTCGACTTGTAGGTATTGGCAGTCATCAGTACAGTATTGTATGGCAATGCATTTTCTATTTCATCAATCAAAGCAAGTAATAGTCATCAAACATGGTTTATTCCTTTCATCTTTAAAATTATGTTAAGACCAAAATCATAATAACTACAACTATAGACAAACAAAGCAATTTCATAAGTCAGCTGTGTTAGGGTTAAGCACTTGTCTTCATCTCATTAACATTATTTTTTCATTATAAAAAGTAGTAATGTTTGTGTTACAGTTTTAAGGCACTATATATTATGTGTATAATCATCACCGAAAAACACATGAATAAAAAATGCCTCAGATGTAATAAAGCATTGATTGCAGAGACTATGAAATGCTATTTATATACATCTTGTACCTGAAATAATCTGTAAATGTTTCATTATTATTTTGCAATAAAGTCTTCTAAAGATGTTTTTGAAAATAAAATGACAATAAAATCGTCATGCATGGTCCAGTACTATCACTATCAGAAAAAAATACCTGTTCCATGTTGTAACCATGTTTCTCCTTAGCAATCTGTAAATACTCATCAACTGCAAAGAAAATAATTATCCATTCTAATATTCTTTTATTGTTTTAACATCTTGGAGCAATCAAGTGATTATTAATCATATACATGGTTTTACCAATTAAAAACTAACATTTAAAATTGGAGAGATAATGGTGTGCCTATCAATGGTGCAGTTTGTAATTAAGTAAAGAGCCAAGTAAATTCTTCAAACACAGAAGTTACTATAGTATCAATGATTTTAAATTTAAATTGTTATTTAAGTTTATGAAATACTAGTAAGCAAATGAGTAGTTAAATTTAAAGCACAAGATAATTACCATATTATTTCAGTGGGAAAGAACTTATTTCTGGATTTTAATTTTTAGATGGCCTATATAATATTAACATACTTTTAGCATCTCTTAAATCTGGACATGGAGCCCAAACTAGTATAGCATCTGCTTTATTCTCTGGTTTTGCATCTACAAAAGAAAAAGTTAACATATGAAATAAATATGCCTGTTGGTGCTTAAAAAAAAGCTTAAGCAACAACAATATCATTTTTTACACACTCCATAACCTTTTTTCCCCAACAACAAACAACTGTTTAATCAACTAAGTATTTCAATATTGTAATATATCTGAAAAATTTATTCCAACAAATTAATATATTCATTAACTTAAGGTGTCCGATCAATTAAGATATATTAACACATCCATAAAACTTGACAGTGTCGTGCTTCTTGTCCTATCCAGTGTAAGTTTAAACCAGAGTTGGGTGTCACCGATCTCACTTTTGAGTAATCTGCCCCTGAATCTGAATAACTAACTTATTTGAGGTCAATTCAAGGGCAGATAACATACCTTTGTCTACAAAATCTTGTTTTAACTTCTAGATATTTTATTTTGTTGTTGGTGGTTTTTTTTATCACATTAAATAATACAAAATTCCATAAATTATTTCTTTTTAAAAAAAAAAAGCTACTTAAAATTTCTAAATAAAAAAAATATGCCATTTTTTAAGAAATAATGAGTAGGAAAAAAAAAACGTGCTTCATTCGTTATTGAAATTTTGCACAATGACTCAAAACCAATAAAGGCTAAATGAAAATAAGAAACTAGAAATGTGTCGTCACACCACGGATGCCCCCGCATGCAGCCAAAATTTCAGAAGTTTCAATATTTATTTCCAAATTTGTTTGCACAAACTATTTTTTTCATTTTTAAGTCCAAAGCCCTTAAAACTATTCAATGTAAACAAACCAGTTTTAAAGAAAGTTCAAGGCACTGAAACTATTCAGTGTTAACCTTTTGTAAATTGCATATTGCAAAATAATGGCTCCATACATTTCCACAAAAGTATGATTCAAAATTTTTCCAACATTCAAGAGAGATAACATTGTCCAAAATAATTAAACCACAACCAAATTCAAACTTGAACTGCTTATTCCTATTGAGATGTATCTATTGTCAAATTTGAGTTGAATGTGTACAACCGTTGGGGAGATAATGAACGGAAACTGAAAATTTCCTTTTTTTCAAAGTGAAAGGGTAATAACTCTGCCAAAAATCATAGAACCATGACCAAATTCAAAATTGACATGCGTATTGCTTTAACGTATCCATATGTCAACTTTGCGTTGAATGTGTAATACCGTTGGGGAGATAATGAACGGAAACTGAAAATTTCATATTATTTTCAAAGTGAAAGGGGCATAACTCTGCCAAAAATCATTGAACCATGACCAAATTCATACTTGACCTGCGCATTCCTTCAACATATCCATATGTAAAATTTGAATTGAATGGGTATTACCGTTGGGAAGATAATGAACGGAAACTGAAAATTTCATATTATTTTCAAAGTGAAAGGGGCATAACTCTGCCAAAAATCATCGAACCAAAACCAAATTCTTACTTGGCCTGCGCATTCCTTTGATGTATCCATATGTAAAATTTGAGTTGAATGTGTAATACCGTTGAGGAGATAATGAATGGAAACTGAAAATTTCATATTTTTTTCAAAGTGAAAGGGGCATAACTCTTCCTAAAATCATCGAACCATGACCAAATTCAAATTTGATCTGAACATTCCTTTGATGTATCCATATGTAAAATTTGAGTTGAATGTGTAATACCATTGGGGAGATAATGAACAGAAACTGAAAATTTCATCAAGGGGCATAACTCTGTCAAAAATCATCAAACCATGACCAAATTCAGTCTTGACCTGCGCATTCCTTTGATGTATCCATATGTAAAATTTGAGTTGAATGTGTAATACCGTCGGGGAGATAATGAAGGGAAACTGAAAATTTCATGTTATTTTCAAAGTGAAAGGGGCATAACTCTGCCAAAAATCATCAAATCATGACCAAATTTCAAATTTGATCTGTGCATTCCTTTGATGTATCCATATGTCTTTGAGTTGAATGTGTAAAGCCAGTATTCAATCTACACGGGAACATGTAGCGTGAAAGTGAAGCGCAAACGTGAAAAATCAAACGAACAATTTTCTATTGTATGTATTCCTTGTCTGTGTGAGCCTGTCGTGAGCGCAAACACAAATTTATGGCATGTGACCGTTTAACGCGAGCGTGAAACCGATCGCTACATGTAGTGATTTTTCACGTTCACGCAGGACATACACGGACGAGTAGCCACGAAAGGTCCTCTGTCTATGCCAGATGCAACAGAAAAACTTATTGAAGCAATTAGAAAATGCCCTATTCTGTACGACCAGTCCCCAAAGGAGTACAGGGACAATAAAAGAATTCTGGAAAATGTTTAAATAAAAATATAATTCTGACTGTAGCGAATCTATTGACATAAATGATTTCTATAAACATTTTAAAGAATTGACCTCAGAATTAAAAATTATGAGGATGTAGACTGTATAGATCTTTTTAAATGATTTGATTCTCACGTTGAATTAAATGAAGCTTTTATATCGACATATTTTCTTTCCAACAAAAATGGACGAAACAATTGTTTTCACAATATTCGGATGAATGGAATAGTGTGAGCGTGAAAACTCACGCGTCACATTTAAGTCTCAAGCTCACGCTCAATGTTCACGTCCCGCTCCCGTATGAATGGAATACCGGCCTAATACCGTTGGGGAGATAATGAACGGAAACTGAAAATTTCATGAAGGGGCATAACTCTGTCAAAAATCATTGGACATGACCGAATTCGAACTTGACCTGTATTTTCGCATGATATATCCATTTGTCAAATTTGAGTTGAATGTGTACAACCTTTCTTAAGATAATGAACGGAAACTGATGATGACGGAATGACAGAATGACGGAATAGGGTTACCCTATATGCCCCAGGCATTTCATGGCGGGGGCATAAAAAATAAGGTATTGTTTACCTATCATCATAAATTATCTGCCCTTGAATTAAGCAAAAACAGACTAAATCAGGATGGATAACTCAAACAAAATCGGTGACACCCATTTTTTTTTAGCTTAAAATGTTTCTGTTATCATATTCTAACAATATTTCAAGTTTAATTTTGTCTGTATGTCTTTATGAAAACTCCTGAAAAGTCTTTAATAAAAACATCTTTAAGTCTTTTTAAACCTAGGGACTCCAAGGGTAAGGCCAATTTTGCCCTTTGAGGCAAAGTTTATAAAACTGTCTAGGAAGGCAGCCTAAGAATCATTGCTGTGAAATAAGTATCAAATCTACCATGTGGTAAAAGAGGATACATCAACTAAATAAATTGTGGATAACAATCATTGTACTACAAAAGTTCACCTTAACTTATGCTTAAGCAAGGTAAAACAAACAGTGATATTGCTATTTGTTGAAGTTGCAATATATTCAACAACAAGAGCTAAAAATAGACACACAATCAATTATCATAAGTACTCGACAGTGCAATAAGAACCGGTCCTAAAAAGCTCTAATTTATAGGGTTACAAGAAAAGGTCTTTAAACAAGAGGGACATAATGGCCCTAGACTGCTCACCTGAGATACAGGTCACAATTTTTTATTTTCAATGTGTTAGTATTAAATGTGGTCACATTTGGGTTTGTCAATTTTACCAGCTCTGCATAATTTTTAAAATATTTTTATATGTCTGCTATAAAATGCTTCATGTCAAATATTTATCCTATTGGCATTGTGATTTCACACAAGACCCAATTCTAACTATGTAAGTCTACATAAATTAAGTGACTCCCAGGCAAGACCCAAGGGCATGACTTCTATAACTTCTTGAGGACCACAATGTGACTACATGCCAGAGGACCACAATGTGACTACATGCCTAATGACTAAGATCTTGGCATTGTACAGAGATTTGTGTATTTACAAATTTAAATTTTTGGACTTTGGAGTCTGCAATCTTTACAACTATTTTTAGGCTCTTGACAGTTGTTTTATTTTGTTTTTTGTTTTTTTATTTGGGTTTTATGTCACACCGACACAATAAGATCATTTGGCGACTTCCAGCTTTACTGGTGTAGGAAGACCTCAGGTGCCCCTCAGTGCATTTATCAGGCACAAACGGGCATCCGAGTAGAACCACCGAAGTTCCGTAAGCTAGCTGGATAGCCTCCATACATGAAAGAATCCAAAGTCCATGTCGGGATTCTAACCCACAGCAGTGAGGGGCAAGTGGTTTGAAGTCAACAACCTTAACCACTCGGCCACGGACAGTAAATAAGATTTTTTAAAGGATTTATTTCATTTTTGTGCAAATTAAATGAATGAAACAGATGCCAAATTATTTAACTTAAGACTTTCCATGGCAGTGTGAACCCTGTTCCCCCCCCCCCCTTTTCTCCTCCCCCCCCCCCCCCCAGTGACTGTGGTTAATATATTGAAACAATATCAGGGATTTTTTTCCAGGATTTTGGGAACATGTCCCAAACCCATGGAATTGGGAATTTCATCAATGTCTTGTTAAAAATTGGGAAAAAATGCATCACTTAAATTTTGCAATGATTCAAATAAAAATTTGAATGCAAAGAATCTCTGTCTAGGATCGCATCTTCAAACATTTAAGCACCATAACAGTGAAGAAATCCTTATTTTCAAAGATTTTAGAGTTTGTTTTTCAATATTTTTAATTTGTAACTTTAAATTGGGAATTTTTTCCTATGAATTGGGAAAAAGGTACTATTTTCATTTGGGAATATGACCGAATATCAGCTATAAAATAAGCCAAAAAAATCCCTGAATATCTAAATAGATCTAAACTAGGGTTACCATTACACATAAAATGTAAAAAATGTGTGGACATAATTAAATGGCATGGCGTGAAAAGACCATAAATAATTATTGTTCGGTAGTGTTCCAAAATTTCGAGTTGTCAATGGGACGAATCATTATAAATTTGCCATAAATTACTTCCCTTTTTGGATCATACAAAAAGGATTTTTAACAACACTGACAAAATGATAATGATTACTTAATTCAAGTGTAAAGTAAGACTATTAATATTTTCTAAATACTGGGATTCCT